TTTTAGTATTACTTCTACGTGAAGTCAACGATTTACATAGTTGAAGATGCTAATTTCAAATAACAGACTGTAGTGGTAATTTTTATACGATAGATGGAGTAGATGAAAGCATAGAGTTGATAGTTCCGTTAGAGTACGGCAGTGTGAAGATTGCATATAGATCTTAGAATAGCGAGCTACGACAACTTTTAAGGTAGGTACAAAACCGGTCGGCCGACAGCACAGGGATTTTCGAACATAGAGAATAACTTTCGAAATGTCACTTTTAACCACGAGTTAAATTTAACTCGGCAAATGGTTCACAGCCTAAGTCATCGATTGAAAATCTACACGGTAACTCGCAACAACTCAAAATTGAGTCGAACATGCTCATTTCAGTGGAAAGTATGGCTACTCAAAAATGAGTAGGCGCACTTTTACTCACTTTTGAGTAAACGACGTGCTCGCGCAAAGTGAGTCAAACCCACTCTGTGATATTTACAGCCGGGAGGTTCTGTTTTTGTTTTGTTTTGATGAAAAATGGAAATTACCTGATCCAGATTCATTTAACTAGAGCTAAAGACGACTGAAAACCGTCTCCGCATGCAATTACTACTTACCTTAATACATTTCGGCCAGTGTTAAACAATAATTTCGTCGTTACTTTGAGTGTTTGCTCTGACACGTTTGACATTTTTTTCAAAGTCCTGGATTTGGCTGACTGAGTCAGTTTGATATTTCTCGTTCACTCAGATTTTGACAACCTAATGCATCAGACGAAATTGAGTACGATCGACTCACCCGGTGAGTAAGCTGAAGTAAGCGTATATAATATTAAAATTATTAAAATAACTCTAACGAATTTTGAAAAGAGGCAGTTTCCTATCAAAAGAATAATTAAGGCAAAAGTTCACCAACTTAATGGCAGTTATTAAATGCCCAATCATGATGTGAAGCACCTAAAGAAACAAATGCTTATGCTAACACTGAAGCAAGACTTCGCGTAATTTGTTGCTGCTAGGGTGGGGTACCTAGGGGGCTACCAGGACAAACACCTCGGCGGGCTTGGCTAAGCAACGGCCTACCAATGAGGGTGGGTCATTCAACAACCTCTTTTGATGGCTAGCTCGATCTGGAGGGCAATTCTTAGCCTCAAGGTCGGCTGGAGTGATTTACCGGGCTAATCAGGACTCGGATATAGTGTGATTGAATGGAAAAAGCTACTGAATTACACTTTAGAGGTTTATTTCCCTACCAATTACATTCTATGTGTGTGTGTGTGGCGTGTATAGTGGCCGGCGACTGCTGGATCTTTTGTGCGGTGATGCTGCACGTGGTGGTGGTTGATACGGCGGTGGTGATGCTGTACAGGCTGGTGGTGGATTCGGCGTTGTTAACGTCCGTAGTGGCGGCGATTCTGGCGGTGACGCTGGCCGTGGTTACACCGGAGACTACGGTGGTGGTGATGGTGACGGTGGTTGCTTAAGGGCGTTTGGTGGCGCCAGTAGGTATGCCCAGTCGACTGTGGAGAGGTGTCTTCTTCGGTGGGAGGTTATGTCCCGGCACCTTACACGAGGTACTGGCGGGTCCCTCTCAGGATTCTGTGGCTCTGCGGGAACGATCGGAGTATGAATTCGGTTGGAACTCGTTCGGAACAGAAAGGTCCAAAGTGGTCCTATCCTCCGGGCCGTCGAACGGAACTGGCTCTCCAGCGGTCAATCGCTCACGGAAGGCCTGTCGGCGTGATCTGGCCGAACACCTCGATCGAGCGTTCTTAATAGGAAAACTTAACGGGTCCTATATTTCACAAAACAAACGGTCTTAGGCCCGATTGTGACATGTGACCTTTTCAATCCCTGTACCATACCTGACTCTCTCACTCCACGCCTGCTACTACGACACTCTTACTTTTCTTTTAACGGTTTTTTTTTTAGATTGTTCAACTGCTCTCGTTTAAGGTTACTTGGCAAGTGGCGGAAGAAGTTTCCGTGCTACTCGCCGTTCCCTTTCTCTGTAATTCTCGTACCCATTCTCTAATGTTCCACTGAACTCAAATTGTTGGCTCATCACCTATTCCAGCAGTTGGTAGTGTAAACTGTGGTACTGTATAATGTACTAAAACAAGGGTTGTCAAATTGGCAATTATTATTTAAATTCAAATGGACATGCAGAATACGATAAACATGTGGGCCTAAAAACATAGAGAACAGACTTCCAACTGCTGTCAGAAACTTGCGTAAAAATAGGTGAGAGCATCACCGTTACGTGGCGCTAGCATCTCCTGATTTCCTCTATAAATTTTCCACCTTTGACCAATTTGGTGCTAGTGCCGATACTTTAAGCGCTACCGGCACTTAGTGTCTAGTGTAAGTTGTGCAACACCAGCGCCATCATGTTGTCAAAGAGGGTTTTTAAATGGGAAAGTAGGTGTTGGTAGTGCTTAAGTCGAGTAAGAATCTTTACTTTAATTTTTACAGAAATTTTGTTCGAGTCTCAGTCTGTTCTCAGTGATACAAATGACAATATCTCAAAATAGGTCAGAAAGAGAGCGGCGCCGATGGTGCAGTGGTAAGTGTGATTACCTCTCACCCCAGCAGGCCTTGGTTCAATCCCAGTCGGCGCCACCGGGATGTTCTGGGCATAACATGCCTGATTAGGCCTTCACGCCGGAAGTAAAGCCGTTGGTCCCTGGTGTTGGTAACATTGGTGCTCAGCACGAAAAACAAGATCGACGGAAAACAAATCAAGGGAAAAAAAGGGTCAGAAAGAGACAGCCAATATATTTCAGAGTGATAAGTGAAGAACTAGATGGTTGTTTACATGAGCATAGTGCCACAGGAAGACCGCGGGCATTTTTACGAACCATTTGGTCATTTGAGTATAGCCAACGAATCAAATGGTTTATCAAAAATGCCTGCTATTCCTTGCTTAACTATGGTCTATGAAATATCCAATTAAGTTTACACTAATCCAATTTAAAAAATAAATCTGCATTATTTTGCCCCATTTCATGAATTCACACTTTTATAGAGCACTATTTTGCAACATTTTTGCAAATATTTGTTATGAAACTATTATATACAACTCAAAATTTTTATGGATTGGGTGATATGTAGCATTTCGAAATATACTACGTAAAAAGCCTATAATTTCGTTACATTCCTAGATTTCACATGATTTATCCCAGATGAAAACCCGCAGCACTCATCAAATCCTATATTATTTGATTTTAATGTAGTACAATCATCACTGGCCCTCGTAAGGCAAAGCCGTCCATTGTAGCAGGCAAACGTCGCGTGGATTCTGGGAAAATGCACGCCTCACTGTTTACTGAAACACATCGCAGCATACTAGATCAAGTTAATATATCGGTACTTAAAAATGACGAAATACCTATTTCTGGATCAACAATAGAAAAGGGCCCATCAGCATTTGTAAACAAACCGTTCAAAATCCCTTTACTCACAAAGGAAGGTTACCCACGCAAACCAACACCATCATCGGATAGGGGAAACTTCTACCTACACGATGATGGTGTTGGTTTGTGTGGGCGGCCTTCGATTTGTGAGGAATGGGCTTTGGAAAGGTTTATTTACAAATGCTGATGGGCCCTTTTCTATTGTTGATCCAGATTTATGCAACAAGTTGCAAAAATAAGGTTTGTTTCAGCACGAGTCAAAGTTTGTCCAACTAGGCTTGCCGAGTTGGATAATTATGATGAGTGCTGAAAACAAAACAAATTTTGTAACGAGTTGCATACACTGACCGAAAATTGACACGTAAAAACCATTGATTTTCATATAAAATTGCACTACTGTTCTCTGAAATATGTGTCTTATATGATGGTCATATGAACATCATTTACACATAACTTGCATTTGATATTTCAAAGCGATATCTTCATTGGAAATCCCTTAAAATTTAAAGGATTTCGCCAATGCTCCGATCGAACAATTTTTATCTTTATCCGATAGGCCGAAGTGAATTCAATGGCGTTTGAATGCGTTAGGTTGAATTTAGAATCCGTAGGCCGAGTGTGGGGTCAAGAAACAGTGTAAGATTTTTGACAATATCTCAACATTTGGTTTTTCTTTATCAAATCTTACGGTTCGTACGGAAAGGTAAATCAATTTAGAAGTCATCTTCAGTGAAAACATTCATGTGACATGTGAAAAAAAATCCACTCGAAAAATAGAGGCTTGTGCTGCTTAGTAGGCAAAAAAAGTTTGGCTCTAACCCTTATAAAAAATACCATACCCTAACGATAACCCAAATGATTGAACTTTTCCACAAATGGTTTGGATGATACCCCGAACACGTCGTTAAGCAAAATAACTATATAAATTTTCTTATGGAAACGACCGCCCAAACAAGTGTCAAAAATTGAGCATTGTTTTGCACGGGCTTCAAAAACCTCAAAACATACCTACACCACTTGAACTTTTCCACCACCTTACTCTATCTGTAGTCGGTTATGAAAGTGTTTAGCTGAAACAAAGTATAACTGACCTATCACTGACCATCAAGTTCACTACAACCTGATCTTAGCATAACCTTTTCTCTCGAACTGTGAAATGTCTGGTATCTATAGCCTGAATCATTTTTTTCGTGTTATTTTCCGTCATTAGTTGCTAAACTGTAAATAGCAAAAAATAATTATAAATAGCATTACGTCTGATTGCACCATAAAACTAAGAGGACACTTTACATGCATATTTATGTCTCGGCACCCAGTACGTTTCCTTTCACTCTTAAATTATTTGGATAACAGAATCATCATGAAAATTCGTTTCAAAAAGCCAACAACACAGCACAATAAGAGACTCAAGGTATGACGTATGCTTATCACTTGTCAAAAACCTCCAGCATCACACGCCACAGTAGCACGAGATAGATCTGTATCGTAAATAGATTTGAAGAGTTTACCTAGTGATAACACGTTATCTGCAGACTTATCGTTTCCGAAACGAGAACTTCCGAAGCTCGTCGGAACAAAGTTTGTATAAATGCCACTGTTCGTTCAATTTGGCGGCTCACTTACGGCGGTTTGCTTGTCAAACCTACAATTCAAGTTGCGTGGGAGTTGCACAAGTGAATATTTACCTGGAGTAGTGATAATCTGCCATAACCAGTGGACCAACCAGAACAGCAAACGAACCGGTGAGTGATATTAGTTCTTGGAATAGTGTGATTTTTTTTATTTTAATTTTGAGTATTTTTTCTTCACGGAGGAAAATTAGTTTCACAATTGATATTGCAATAATTAATATCAAAGCCTGAGAAAATAAAAATTCATAAAGTGTTTGTTTTAAATTTATGATATTCAATCAAATCTTAAGTGCTTTCCACACATCTTTTCAATTATGTCTACATAATCCTATTGAAAAAGCAAAAATCCTATTGAAGAATGATACGTAGGCAAAAGAGAAAATTGTCTATATTTATAAAATAAAGAACTGTGCCACATAAAATCAATCAATCCTACTTACGACTGAAAACATCTTTAATAAACTTAACCATTCAACCAAATCACTTAATTCCAATTACATTTTAGTGATCGAATTAGGTATTGATGTAATGAGTTTGAGCAACATGGCAATTCGTACTAAATAATTTAGGCAAGGCCAACCAAGTGCTAAAGGCAAGACTGGGCTGAAGGTTAATATCTTGTGTGTTTTGCTTATATCTATACTGTATTACCTACCTAACTCATAACGAATATATGCACGTTGTATTAGGGGGGAGCATGGACTCGTCTAATTTTGCATTACAAATGATATGTTAAATTAGACGAGGTATACATTGTGTTCGAGGGACCGCTGATACAAATTATATTTGTTATGAGTCAGGTAGCACAGTAGGCAATGTGCAATATTACCTACATATTGCATCATATTTTTAAAGTTATTCATTATACAGTTATTATACTAAAACAGATTAATTTCTTTTGTTTACCAATAAGTTTTTATGAAATTTGCAGGGCTTTCGGATAAACTAGTTTTACGAAATGTTACACAATTTTCATAACAAACTTGTGAGATTTGGCTGATTATGGTGATTAATTGGACATCTTTCATTTAACTACTTAGCTGTTCTTCTTAGTGATGTCAATATATCCACCAACAAATTTCCATGCATAACTTGAACATAAATAAACATAATCCCAAAACTTGATGATTATTAATGCACTCATAGGTTGCTTCCACTCACTGGCTATAAAAAAATGTTGTTCGGAATTATGAAATCATGAGATGTTAGATGTTACAATGATACCTGATTAAAACCTGCCAATTTTACTTTCAGAGCTTCGCAATCTGCGATTTTGTGATTCGTGAGCGTCGAGCGCTCACGTATCGTAAAATCGCTGATTGTGAAGCTCTGAAAGCAATATTGACAGGTTTTATGTGTCAAACACATACTTTACAATCTCTCCTTGTAGCTTACAAGTACTAACCCTAATAAAAATACCATAAACAAATGATAGCCCAAATGATTGAACTATTCCACAAATGGTTTGGATGATATCAGGAACATGTCGTTAAGCAAAATAACCATAAAATTTTTATTAGGGAATGAATTCGAAAAAAAAAAATATCAATTTTGTATAGCAAGTGTTTTCACAACTATTTTTTGAAATATACCGAAAATTAATCAAATTTTCATTTATTTATTTAAGGTGCAACTCTTCATCATGAAAATTGTGCCTGCTTCTTCTTTTTTTATTCTTAGCTCTGACTTTGTAAACGTTTTAGTAAAATATATCGACAGCATGCACCTTCGCAACAAAACGCGCCAAAAACATCCATGTTTTATCAATAATGGGTGTGTCCATATAAAACTGGCCATCTCTTCTTCAATAAATAAACAAACATGACATTACACTAAACACACTAAAGAGACAGTAAATCCCCATTGCCCTATTGAGATGTTAGTGAAAATCCGAGGAAAATGCAAATCGCTGACAAACTCATCTTGACAGATCTAATTTCATACATTTTTAGGTTAGTCACAGGAAAATTTTAAACAATTTTACACGGCGATGCACACACTAGTGTGCGTGCGTTAAACGACACTAATCTTTATTGTCAGACCGCGCAGTATGCAATTTTGGAGACGAAAATCAATGACAACTTACGGACACTGTTTCCGTCTTCCCTGAATGTGTTTTGACGTAGGACCACGTTTTTCTTTACTATACTGGGGTTCACATTAGGAAATTGAAAATTAATCATGTAACGAAAATGGGAGTATTTTTAAACGCATAATTCTCCAAAGCATTAATGATAAATATGTCATGCAATATGACATTCTACGAGGAAATAATCCAGCAAATTGTTGGCATATAGTTCAAACAGTGAAAATAGTTAAAAAAGTACGACATTTAATGAAAATTTGAAACATCAAATTGTAACATACATTTGCTTAGACCACAAGGTGTCTGTCCTAACAGAGACATAACATAGTTAGTACCAAACGTAACACACACAGAATCTTCTACTTTTATCCTATGCAATACACCTTTTTAACTGCTTTCAGTGATAAACATAGTCTTATATAACATTTAGTTTAAAATATATACTCACCATAAAAAAAACATCCTTTAACAACATTACGCATTGCAATTGGCGTAGCTAATGGGGTACCTAGGGTGTCTGGCCTCTCCAGAACGATCTTGGCCCCGTGCAGAATTTTTTGAAGATTTATATAATTAAAATTGTCGGTATTGGAATCTCCAAAAAAAATGTGGAGATTTGAAGATTTTTCTAAATCAAATAAGAAACTGGAATAGTATCACTTTATCCAACAACCTACATTTTAACATATCAATCACTAAAATACAATCACTCAATATGCAACAAATCACATACTCTTTCGACAGTTTTCTTTTTCTTTTTTCAAATCATCAACTAGATTATAAGCATTATTTAAAAAATGTATAAAATAAGTATGAAAGGCATTTGAAGTGGGGATAAGTGATTGAAATTAAATCATTATAATTGCTTACTTTTTGCGCTAAATGCTCATCACAGCAAAGCAAATGTAAATAAATGTAGTTCCCAGCTTTTTGCGGACATTTAACATTCTTGGGTCATTCGTGACTTGTCTGGGAATGAGATTTGAACTCGTGAGAGGTATGGATATTTACCATTACACCAGGGCCACCCCCGCTTTAATTGGTAGATACAGCAATTAAAATTTAATTTCATATATTAAAGCATTTAAAAATCCATCAATGGGTTTTACGTTTACCTGTGATTTTACATGGAAAGGTCAATTCAAATTAGTTTATTATTCAACGATCAAAGATGATATAAACGCGTAAATTTTAGTTTTTATTAATTAAGTATCAGATCTTAAAACGTGTAATTTTATGGTTAAAAAGGGTCCCAATTTGGATTTTAAAATTGCATAATAATGAAATAAAAAAGCGATATTGATGGTAAAATAAGACCTGGGTTCAAAAAATTAGTTGAGTCCGGCTGGGAAAAGATAATAGGGTTAATCTCAGGCCGCTCAGACATCTACTTGATCCGGTTTGGGAACTGCTTTCGGGGTTGTCTGTCATTTCTTTTGAATAGCTTCTTGTACCCGTGCTTGAACGATCGTCAGTTTACCTTGTTGTGATGCAAGGGGCACGGTGTTTGACCGTTTTTGATTACTGAGCAGTGATTACAGATCGTGGGTTAGAACCCAAGCTCATTTACATTACTGATTTGATAGGGACAAAGGCTCAGATTTTAGCAAAAGTGAATACAATGAAAAGTATATGAAATATAAAACAAATTCCAATGAAACGATCTTACCATATATCTGCAATGTTAACCAGAATATTACTTAGATCATTCCAGTAGTAAATAGCACAGCTGTTCGTCCTCGACTCAGATGTAGCCCTCAGCCTCAGAGCACCATCGAACTAGGGTCGTTTATTTGAGACTCTGTCCTATATCCAGTAAAGTGTACTGGACTTCATGGCGCAGAACAATTCGGTGATGCTTCGTGAGCGTTTTAAACTGCTCTTGGAGATTTATATCTTATTGTCCAAAGTCATTTTCTTCTCTAAACATAATGCTATGCTGACTGCCCACTTTCACCACTTCTCTTTCCGAATTCTATGCGCCTCTTCCCCTCACAATACCGATTCAATATACCGAACTTCCACTATCATCATGATCTTTGCTTTTTTCTTCCTACAACTCATGCCATTCTTCAACTTCAAAATTCTCTCTTCCCAAAACACAAGATATTAACCTTCACCACTCCCCCTTCTCTAACCGTCGTCGAGCGAACGGTAACATTCCACGTGTGCTCAATTTTTCAAAAAAAAAAGCAAAACGACAAAAAACATTAACCGAACGCCAATAACGATAACGTTTACCGGAAAAAAACTATCGCGAAAAAAAAACAAAAAAAATCGTGACAGCTCCTTAAAATGCCAACCGACCGTGGGCAAAACCTTCTCGGATCTCTGATCTAGAACGAATTCTACCACTTTTCATGAAAAAGATCTTTCGAAAGAAAATATACAGAATTATCTCAATAACCAAAACCATAATTCGAGCAGTAGAGGGTTAAATTAATTTGTCGGCTGTTGCGCGTGATAATCACAATATCATCTGGAGCATTTGCACCCCATTTAAAGTGTTCTGTTTATTGTTCTAGATTTGAACAAAACGTGAGACAAATTCCTTAATTAACAATAATGAATTAACTAACTATCCAATAGAAATAAAGGAATCATCCAAATAGACTGCAGCAATCACGTCGATACATACTATGTCACTCTAAAATTAAAGAGCATCTTAATGTTGATGAATTCACATTTATTTATATGAAAAGATAACCCCAAACGAAGTTGCATATTTAAAAGAAAACAGACTATGCATCGTTCTTTATGATATATACATTTAGAATAACTCTTTTTTTGTCATTTTATCGCATTCCGTTTCCACTGGTAAAATCTAGTTTTATATGGACAAAACCTGTTGAATGAACCAAAAAAAAAAGAATAAGCTACACCGAACCTATCCGGTAACCTCGTTTACGTGTTCGCGTATCTAAGTACGTATATCAAAACATATATCACGGCTTGTCAGCCAAGTTCGTCGGGCGTCAGCCAAGTTGTTTGCATAAACGCGGTCGCTGGTTGTCCAGTAGCGGTC